CTGTCACGGTGACGATGTATCGGGCATTTGAACGCGAGATAGACAAGTATCAGATTCAAAGAAGGATAACTACGTGCTATTACCGTGGTTGGTTACAAGGACGTCAAGATGCCGAATTGAATTCGGGACGGGAGCCAGGCTATATACAAGACGAGAAAAGGGGCTCGCACATAGCGCGTGGCCCTAACGGAATCGGGAATCAGGTGGCGGGCGCGTGGCGCACGCGTGCGCACGTATGCGGGAACAAGGTGTCAGGGGATTGATGCTTAGAGGGAGGCCATGATCAATACCGTGACACTTCCCACCCCTCCAGGTGCTTCCCGATCTTTGGTTATATATTGGCGAAAAATGGTATGAAGTAAAGATTCCAGGGATATTCCTCAAACCTCAAGGAGTGTACGACGATGTAGATCGTACGTTGAAGTTTCCTTATCTGACAATATCCAATAAAATAGCTACTAATCCCTTGACTTTAGTATGTATGGGTAGGCTGGAAGAGAGTTCGGCTCCACATGGCCCTGTCTTAGGACACCCATTATTCTTCGCACAAAATGTAATTTTCAAAGGCGTTGATGTTCTTTCAGTTGGCCTAGTGAAGAAGGAAGCGCAGAAGCTCGAGGTATCATCTTAGGCTTGTTAGCGGCACAGCGGCTACTAAATAGCCTGGAGAGCGACCTGTCTTTTTCATTGAGTGAGGCTAGCTATGTATTTATCTACAAGCATAGAGAACCTCATGGAAGATAGAATGTGCCAGAATTCTCGAGATAGGCGGCGGGGTTGAAAAGGGGGGTGAAACAATCGTTGCAAAACTTGCTGTACACGTGATCAGAAGTGCTGGCAAGCAAGCAAGCAAATAATTTCGAGCTTTTGCGACTTGACTGGGTTAAATTTGCTTGAGTCAGGGCGTGACTTGCTTGCTTGTCTGGAGATTAAGCAAGCAAGCAAGTACTTGCAAGTTACACTATTTCCAACCGAATTTGTATGGGAAAATTCACGAGCTAGCTAAGCAAGTCAGACAAGTAAGTAACAAGCAAGTTGGACCGTTACAACTTGCTTGCTTGTTTAAAAATAAAGCAAGTAAGCAAGCAAGTAAGCAAGCAAGTCTGCACGTGATCCCTGCTGTAACCAGGCTAGCTGACTTGCCCACCGCTCAACTACACGTGTCAATTAATCGGATAACTACTTTACAAGGCGATTCATTGCAATTCCTGTTCCATTGCGCCAAATATGCAACTAAAACTAACTCCCACTGTACAAGTCGCGAAGCTTGCGCAAGTAATCCTGCCTCTTTCCACCGATCTATGTATATCAAAGTTAGAGAACAGAGCGATTGAGCAACATATGTTTTAGGCCCTGCAGAATCAAGGCCTTCACATGGCACGCCACTGGCGGGATCTATTTTACAGGTGGTGATGGGGAAGAAGTGAAGAGCTGCGCGGCCTAGAGAGCGGTGCGTGCACGGGCCAAGGGCCCAACTGCCGGAAAGAAGCCACGTACGGCATACATGTACAGAATCCACAAGCAGTCCCAACAACTTCGCCGCGGTGATAAACCACGAACTGTACGGTTACTATTGATAAACATGCCTGTTCAGCGTGTTAGAAATACAAAATTTAAAGCCGACGTAACCTCCCTAGCTCCCCAGCAGCGCCGCCGACCTCCGCAATCCTCTACACGAGCCGTCACCAATAGCGTCTACCAACCTGTCAACCAATCCCCGTCCGATCGATTCCAGACGCAGGCTCTAAATAACACTTATATGGATGCTATGGACGAGGCGTTCACACAGGGAGAGCCGTCTCCTGGCTTCACGTTGGTAGATGATGTAGTGAACGACGAGGTGATCATGCAGGATCTAGATACAGATACTCGCAGCGTGGGACAGACAAGATTGCATGTAGCCAAGCTCGAATTGCTTGATTTAGATGAGTGGGATGAAACTGGGACATATGACGAAGACCCGCCAAGCTGTCTCTAAACAAAAAACTAATTTTAAAGGATACAGAACAAGATCTCGTTCTAGCGCCTATGTACCACTGGTCTTTATTTCTACGGCCTAAGCTAGAGAACCTTCTGAAGAAGAAGCTCCCGCCAAGTAAGCGTGTTACATGCGATGACACGGATGTTATTGTATCAGTGACGGGGCGCTCAGAGCGCGACCTAACAAAGCGGTTCAATGGGACTGAGATTGATTGGCTAGTTGTAGAAAAACAGCTTTTGGCATGGGGCGAGCTATTCCGTGCTGGTAAAAAGCTTCGAGTCGATGTCTCATTCAACTACCTAGAATTGGGTCAACCGCCAACCACACGACTGGCACGCCGCCACTAAAGAGCAAGATCCGGTGCAGAGGTAGGATAACAAGAGTACTTAGCGTGTGGGATTGGGAGGTAGATTTTTCGGCGACATATTTTGCTGCATGCTTTTCATTCAAATAGGATGGGCCAGAAGGGTAACTTGCCTAGAAGGCTAGGCTAGCAGCTCCATGGAGACCGTACGGAGGTCGTACGGCCAGGGAGTCATCGTACGGTCGGAGAGACCGTGCGGCCAGGGAGATCGTACGGCCGGAGAGACCGTACGGCCAGAGAGACCGTACGGCCAGGGAGACCAGAGAAACCGTGCGGCCAGGGAGACCGTACGGCCAGGGAGATCGTACGGCCGGGGAGACCGTACGGCCAGAGAGACCGTACGGCCAGGGAGACCGGAGAGACCGTACGGCCAGAGAAACCGTGCGGCCAGAGAAACCGGCCAGGGAGACCGTACGGCCAGGGAGATCGTACAGCCGGAGAGACCGTACGGCCAGAGAAACCGTGCGGCCAGGAAGACCGTACGGCCAGGGAGTCGTACGGCCGGCCAGGAAGACCGTACGGCCAGGGAGATCGTACAGCCGGAGAGACCGTACGGCCAGAGAAACGGGGCTGGGAAGGGTGATATTTCGGTGTTATTGAAGCTGAAAGGGGTTGGCCGGTTGGAGCGAGAGGAGCCGAGGCCGGGTTTGGGGGCGTGTCCGATAATCTATAACTTCAACTCAAGCCTATTGTTAAGAAATGTCTACACTCGGCATGGATATTGGAATAAGGGGTCTGTAACCGCCCTAGTTTTAAATACCACAGTGTTACAACTACGCGCGTTATTAAAGAGCTAGTCTCCGGGAGCAAGTATAACTATGCCATCATCCTTATACTGCTACTCTTCTTTAACTACTTTATCGGACCATCAATCTATTAAGCTATTAGCCGAAGAGGCACGAACTACGTATACAGCACATGGAAATTTCAGCAACACTCTCTTAATGGCGGCAGGTTGGGTCTATTATTACTTCGAGGCAAACTATATAAATGGTTGGATGTGCTGCAAGTCCCTTCCTCTTTACGCTGCAGCTAGCAGCTCGATCAAAAGTTCACGCGCGACCTAGCTATCTTCTGCTAAGCCTCTGCGTGAGAGAGTTTTCGCGATTAAGAGGAACTAGCAGCTTCGTTCAAATCCCAATGCTAGCACCTTGAGTACCCCTAATCCTTGCTCGGTTCAACGCAGCTGCGACACCCTTAGCAGTAGTTATGCAGTATAATGGTGTCTCTTAGCAACCGGCTAAATTCTAGGAGCGTATAAAGGCATCGCCGTGTTCGCATGTAGGTCCTTCCATCAGCAACCTACTTACTCCCATCAACACCTATCTTAGCCTAAAAGAAAGGATCTCCTTAAATTCAGGTCCACATCTCTAGGAGACTATATAGGAAAAATGAGGCGTTCGCACAGTGCAGTGGGAGAGTGCCCAGCATCAAAGCTGCCTCGCCGGATGCAGCTGCAGGACCGGTGAGAGATTGTGCCAACACATACTTGCGTGAATGGCAAGGCTGCGAAGCCAAAGGTCTCGAATTGAAGAAAGACGAGCGGTGCTAGTCTTAATGTGGGCTAGTCCCTATTGAGTAGGAGAAAGAATAGGGCTTGGCAAGCGCCCTCTCGCGCTGAGCCGCACAACGGCTCCTTTACCATCCTCATCAGTCCCACTCCATTGCACTACTACCCTCTCCCACACGAACCTACCTCATGATACAGTAGGAGAAAAAGTCTCCTAATACCAACGCTGTAAGCCTTCCCCTCCCCCTTAACCAACCTTCCGCGCACCCAACCAACTTCCTCCCCGATCCACCCAAATCGCCTGCATCCCACCGCCCGCGTACCAACAATATTAATCGAGTTGTCGCTGATAGTTTCGTGGTGACGATACAGATGATAGCCCAAAACCAACACACCGAAAGAGAAGATCCTATTCGTCCAAGTGCGCAATACTCCACACAAGTTTTGGCGGCGAGCCGAAGCGTATAGGACTCTCTCTACAATACGGCTCGCTCTCTAGCCCGGTTTCCCTCCTTATGCAATAATATCCAAAATCTTCTGTATTAAACTCCGGCAATACCTAACCACCTAGACGTCCTTAAAATTAAGGAGAATAGATATTTATTTCTAGAAGAAGGATTATAATAGGCTATTAATACTCTAAATACCTGTAATCTTAAGTTAATAGTAAAGACTTTACCTACTTAAAGAATCTTAATTAGCACCTTATATCTAGTACGCTATCTTTTTATAAAGTCTTTTATACGTAACTAGAAAGGGCTTAGGTCTAAATATAACGAAGACTTTAATTATGCTAATTACCTTGCTATACTAGTTTTAGAATAGGTATATATTTTATCCGCTCGACTAGTTAAATTATAAGGGATATTACTAGAAGAGGAACTGTTATATATAGATAAAATAGCCCTAATAGCAGAATATTGCGATTTAATTTTATCCGAAAACAGCACTTTTACTATCTTAGTTAGAGGAGTTAATAATATAGAAGCACGCTAGTAGGCAGCAGTTCTTACAACGGGTTATAAATAGAGAGTAAATATAAAGCGCTTTAATAGCTTATATTATCCTTTATAGTTAATACACCTTAACTAAAGCCTTACTTTTAAGGTTTATAGATCCTTACCGGCACCTCTATTAATATGTTTGCTATTATTACCTCTATTTTTAAGCAAAGCTTTTTAGTACCTCTATAACTTTTCTATATAATATTAGCTTAAGAATTAATTTTTTACCGCCTTTGCTACAGCTTTAACTCTTCCTAAGTAGAATAGATTCGGAGCCGCTATTAAGCTACCTTATCTATTTCTGCTACTACTATTTAGTTCTGCACTAGTATTAGAGGACTCTAGACTACTTATCTATAAAAAGCATCTGCTATACTATATAGCTTTAAGCTATATACTTTATATAATATTTTCTGCTTTATACGGGATATTTTAGGAACCTAATATAAAGTATAATATTGCTAGTAAGTAGCTATATCCGGTTACTAATAAAATTATCCCTTTAATTAATAAATATAATTAATAGGAGATTGTTATTAAAATAATAGTAATCCGCAGGCTAAACCTAGGGCCTTTATAGCTAGGTTTAGCAATTACCGGACTATTACTAAAAATTATTAGACTTTTTAATAATTTACTACTAACTTCTCCTAAAGTAGCAGTCTAGATATAGTCTCTATAGTTATTTATAGACTTACTAAACCTTTATAATAAAACCTATATTATACTAAATAATAAGGGTTAATAGATAATACGCTGTAAAGATAAACTATATTTTCTTTACCTTACTAAAATAGATGCAGAAAGTTACCTAAATCTACTACTTAGCCTATAGCCGCCTTTCGGGGTTATATAAGTTTATAATACTGTAATTAAAGCCTAGTTGCATGCGGCTTATTAATATAACTTAAGTTATAGCTATTAGAATTAGCGATTAAAAAGTAGAAGGTTTTTTAAAGATACTAGTATTTTTATATATCCTAGTAGAGTCTTTTATCCGCCAGTAATACTATTACTATCTTTTTATATAAATATAAATGTTATTTAGGCTAATATATTAGAAAAAGTCTCTTAAATAGCAATATAAAATATCTTTATATAGGCCTTATTTAAAGGGAGACGAATTAAGGATTACAATATTTAGGAGTATAAATAGCTGCGGGACTTAGGTAGCAATAATAAGTTAGGAGATAATATTTTAGTTACCTTAAGCTTAGGCAGTTCTATAGTAAGCTAAGCCTAGTTAGCGCTGGACAGCGCAGGGATCTATACTATAGCCTTGGCCGTCCAGGATAGAAAGTTATATAAACTGCTTTATTTTTTTAGAGAAATTCTTCTTAGGTATTTATATTATTATTAGCCGCGGCGGTCCTTTTATACTATATTAGCTAGTTAGATATCTTATACTTTATCTCTGCTATAAGCTTTCGGCACTAAGATTTAATTGCACTATTATAAGTTATATATTTATATATCTTTAATTAAAAAGGCTTTATCTAATTACTTAGGTTAGTATATTAGCCTACACTTAAATACTAGGATAATAATAAGCTCTAGCAGAAGTAGTACCTGCCGGAAATATAATTATCTTAATAATAAACACAGCTTCTAAAAATACAGTTATTATAGCTATAAAACGCAGTAGAAAGTATATTAGTTTTATAAATATACGCAGTAAACGCTTTATAAAGAATGCACTGCTTATCTAAGTTCTAGTCTAGACGGAACTAAGCCTAGAGGTTAGATTAGAGAAAAGCTTTCTGCAGTATAGAATATAACAGCGTAACTTAGCAGAGTTAATACTTAGGTTCCGCCGCTATAATTTTTCCTTTAAATACGAATCTAAGGAGTATTAGGCAAAATAAATACAACTTATTTTTATATACTCTTAAAATTATGCGCACCTTTATATTCTTATTCTAGCTAATCTATACTCTGGCTTTACAACGCGACCCTTAAATTACAGCTATATTTTTATAGCCTAGAAACTATCTATTACTTTTACAGCGTTCCTCTATTATAGTATACCCCTCCCGTAAAAAGCTAGCTAAAAAGAAGTCTATTATTGCGCCAATATCCGACCTAGAATAACCGGAAGCCGCCCAGCTCTAAAAAAAAAAAACACTTACTAGAAATAGTATATATTTATAGTACAGGGCACGCTACTCTATAATTTTTAAGCTAAGTTATATATTTAGTATAGTTTTATACTAGCTTAGGAACCTAAAAGTTAGAGCCGGCGATAATAGAGGGCTTTTTATAAGTTCCGGCGCGGACTATTATAATAGTAATATAGGCTGCCGCCTAGCTCCGGCTCGCTGCGGCTTGCTATAGCTTACTATAGTTAGGGAGCTAGCTAATAGGCGTTTAACTGCTGGCCCGATAGCCTAAATAATTAAAAAGCGTCCTAAAAATAGAGAATCTAAGGGATTCTAGAAGGGCTCGCATAATTAAAAGTGCTTTTGCTAAAAGCCGCAAAGCCTAGCGCGGAATTTAGGCGGAGTTAAGGCCGGACAGCTTTATTAAAGGATTAAGGAACAAGCGCGGAGCGGCGCCTAGCGCAAACCGATAATATTCCGCGCTAAGCCTGCGTTAGAGCGTTATTAGGCGACTCTACTAACTCTACTATACTACACCCCTGCGCCGTACTAATATAGTCGTATTTTTATATAAGCTGCTAAGCCAGCTTATAATATTACGTGGTTTTTCTCCTATATACTAGCAGCACGTTTTACAACCTCCTAGAGTTCGTAAGGTGCACTGCTAAGTTAGGCTAGCGTGTTGCTGCTAGTTAGCAGGGCGTTCTAACTTTCGACTAGCTTTATAGGGTAAGCTCGGTTTATTATATAATCTATTCTATACACGGATCTTCGAACTTATTACTAGTCGCTACTCCCGCTTTTACGAACCTCCTACTTTTATAAACCTTCTATTCGCATAATCCTTTTAATTATATAGTTCTTCTATTTTTATAATTCTCCTATTTTTATAATTCTCCTATTAGGCTTAAATTAGGAATACCTTATTCTTTTAGCTTATAGCGGGCCTTTTTCCTCTACTAGTAGCATACTAATACTATTCTATACTAAGCCTATATTAGGTTAGTGCGTCCGGCTACTATACTACTACGTAAAACCCTACTACCTTTACGGTTAAGCAACTCTTCTAACTCTACTATACTGCACCCCTATACTGCACTAATATAGTTGTATTCTTATAATATACTAAGCTACTGCTTATATAATATCTCTAGCTAAGCAGTATAGTAGTAAGCTTAGTAGTAAAGATTTCCTATTAGACTATATTATTAGTTAAACCCTTTTAAAGGCCCTAACTTATCTATTATAGAACTATTAGCGCTAACCTCTAACTACTATATAGGATATAGTAAGCTATATACTAAAAAGGCGCTGCTCCCTGCCCGCCTCTAAAGTAGCCCTTTATCTTATTTATAATTACTAGATACTTAAACTATAACTTTTAGGTTTACGCAAATATTAATACTTAGAGCCACCCTAATTAAATAAAACGTCCCTACCTATATTAAAAAGATAGAGGCTTAGCTATTCTAGCGGATTTTAACTACTAGCGGTATTTTAGGATAACTTATTAAAGATCTAGTTAACTAAATAAGCGTTAAGAAAGCTAGACTAAAAAAACGCTTAAGCTATTATAAACCTACCTTATTTACTATATTAACGGCCGGTTACTTAAAGCTTCCTTACTAATTTAAAGATATATTATTAAACCGCATGCCGGATTACTTAATATTTCCTTGCTAAGTTGAAAAGATATCGCTAAACTACACGCTGTCGCAATCCGAGGATTCTAAAAAATATACAGCTACTTACTAGTATTAGTAGTTTAGATCTATCGGACCTGCAGAACGTATATACTAATACTTACTAGCTGGTATTAAAGCTAATAACGCTTTCTAGTACCCCGAACCTATATATCCTTTTAATTATATAATAAGCTTAAGCTAGTCTAGTTTTTAGGGCCGAAAATAGGGTTTAGTAAGTACCTTAAGTACTAAGCCTACTATAAATATAATAAGAACTAATATAGGCCCTAATCTAAGTTTTAATAAAGGTAATATACGCTTCTGCTAAAGAACGTATATACTATAGTTAGAGTCGGACAACCTATAGATGTATTTTATCGGTATTTATTAATACGCCTGCCTATCCTCGTTCTAAGTAGAGATAATATCGCGTATAGTTACTAATATTAACAGGCGGGCTATATCTACGGTCGCACTTTAGCTATAGTTAGATCTGCCTCCTCTACTTTTATACTTTTTATAACTATAAAACTGAAAATTATATATAAGTAAAAAGAAATACTTAATTTATAAAGTAAATAAGAACTAAGCCTATATCTAAGGCTAATACCTATAAAGAAAAATAGTAAAGTAGACACCTTTTATATATTCTATATAGTAATAAACTATTGCAGATGCTATAATATAACGCACCTAGGCGTTGTATTAGTTTGTTTACTACTAGAAAACTTTTATAATTACTGCCTTTACCTTTGCTTTTACTACTTTTACCGCCCTTACTGCTTTTACCGCCTTAGTTGCCGGATAATATTATAAAAGGCCTTTTTAATATTTATATAGTTCTTTGCAAAAGCCTTTATAAAGTTATATTCTAGCTTATAGGCAAGTATACTGCCTTCCTTTATAAACACTTCGCGCTCTATTACTCTATTATATTTATTGCCTACTAGTATAACAGGAGCTAAGCCGAAACCAGAGCTATTTAATATTGCACCTAGCAGTAAGCTAGGGTATATTAGAGATCCGGATAGTAATAATTCCTTAACCTGTTAGATTTAGTAGTAAAATTTTTAAATGCGGGTAAAGAACAACCGGGATAAAATACTATATACTAGCATAAAGCCCTTACTATTTTATATCTACTAGTTTTACAGCGTAATATATTTTTCTTAACCTATAGTATTAAGCACTTCTAATATATATAACTATTAATTAATCTGCACTTACTTATAGTATAAGTCCTTAATAGTTAGGTTATAGTCTCTGTTTTTATAAAAGCAGTTTAGATATATCTAGGAATATAATTAGTAGTTAATATATAACGGGTGTAAAGGGGCCTACCTAAATAGTTAAAGCTATCTTCCTAATACTACTATTTTTAAGCACTATAAGCTTATATAAAGTTATTTTCCCCGCTATTATAGAGGTCTATTAGTCCGGAGACTGCTAATCTACTTTTAAATTAGGAGTAAAATATAAACTAGAGGTTTAGAGGTAAAATAGAAGGAGATTAGTTAGACAGTTTAGCGGTTTAACTAATACCTAAGAACTTAGGGCGCAGGAAGATATAAAAAAACGTGTAGAAACGCAACTAGTAAGAATAGAATAAGAGCCGGTAAAGTAATAATAAAGAACCTATTAGCCGCGTTAGGTGTAACTACTTAATATAATATCCTCTTTCTTATACTAATATAGAATTATAGGAAGCGTATTAGAACCCTAAGTTAGTTTCTAGTATAATAGAAAAATAATAAGTAGGGTTCTTTAGCCGCGAAAAGCAATTATCGCATTTCTATAAAATAGACTACTATTTCTCCGCACTATTACCTACGGTATTATATTAGTTAGATAAGCGGTAGTTATTTAGAAGGTACAGGAATATTATATATTAGGAAGTTAAATAATACCTTTTTATAAAATAAAGCAAAGCTTAGTGCTCTATTATTATAGAGGCCGCCGGCGTAAAATAGTATAAAAGAGTAGTAAAAAAGGATAATATACGCGCCTTGCGCTAAAGCTAGGCATAGGCTCGCCTAATAAGTATACTAGCCTAAAATAGCATATTTAGCGTATTATAGCTTTAGAAGCATTTTTCTATAAGTAATTAAACTTAAGTAGGATAAATAAACGGCTATAAGTTAAATTACTATTTATAGACTAGTTACTATTAAGTTACTATATAAGCCGCCTACTAAGATAACTTTAGGGGCTTACTAATACTATATAATTAACTTGTTTACAACTGGAATTAATACCTTATTTATCTAATAGCTACTTAAGCCCGCTAGAGTATAGGAAAATAGAAGTTAGACAGGGCCTTTAATATCTACCCCTAATTCTAGATTAGCTATAACTATAAACTGTTTTTAAACTTAGCAGCCCGAGAAATATACTATTATACTAGAACTGAACCCGTATTTACTTAGACCTGCGCATTAGGTAGCGCATAAAATAAATCCTAGTATCCGCAGTTTTTATATATCCTTAGTATCCTTAGTATAGAATCCTTCTTATAGAATATTATTATATAATAATAATTGCTATCTATTTTAAAGTTAGTATAGGGCTAGAACTAGTATAAAGCGGCGGAAGAACCGGAAAAACACTATAGTTATACTATAGAATTAGAACCTTATTATAGGTTAGCTCTAGAAAGTTCTAGTAGTCTGGATAGGTATAGCAGCTTATCCGGCTCTAGCTTAATAGTAGTATCCTTGCTGTTTCTTAAAGTTCTATTTAGCTAGCAGTCCCGCGCAATTTTCTCTTTCAGCCTCGCGTTCTTTTCCCGCAGCCTCGCGATTTCTTGCAGTCCTGCTTTCTCTTGCACCCTTGCGTTCTCTTACAGCAGCCTTATAATCTTTTGTAGCAGCCTCGCGATCTTTTCCTGCAGCCCCACGTTCTCTTATAAAAGGGTCCCTGCGGAAGAGAATTAGATATCTGTATATAGCCTGCTAAGTTTTGTCTTACAGTCGGCGTAACTAGTATTATAGACCGTGCTTTGCTAGATTAGGAAGAGCGCTTTAGTCTTAACTACTGGAGTAGGTTCTATTATAGAAAAACTGCGGACGTCTCTTATAGTTTATAGCTTATCTAAGTATACTACAGGGGCTATTACCGCATCTAAAGGCTCCGATAACTGCTATATTATAGCTATTCCAGAACCTAGGAGTGTAGTTGTTGTCTCTGGCAAGAGCTAGGAGTAATTATCCCGGCCTGGGTCGGTGTCCTGGGACCGGAGGTTGCCACTCCACGGCGGCAAGGCCAGGTTGGGCGGGACGTGGCTAGCAGTGGTAGTATTTAGGTTTGGGGAGGCGCTAATAGCAAAAGGGCTGGTGGAGGGGGCATTATTAGGCATGCTAAACAAGCTCTTCGGAGGTGGAATAGAGCGGCTAGGGAGCAACCTGGTTGTGGCATTAGTTGTGGCATCTGATAGCGCGCGATCGCGACCGGGGTACTGGCAGCTGTGGTTGCCGCGCGCGCATCCGCTGCAAGGGATCATGCGATCGCACCTGACCCTCCGCTGCGAGCACCGCACACAGGGGCGGCTGTCCCTGCACGGCTTCGAGGCCCTACGCGACGAGCCCCGCTTATGGATCTGCAGATGGCGGTCCAACAGGTCTTTGCGCTTGAAGCCGGTCTGGCAGAAGCGACACACGTGCTTGTTGCTGCTCGAGTGGTTCTTGCAATAGCGGTTCAGCTTCCCGATGGCGCTGTAGCCGCGACTGCACTCGGAGCAGTAGAAGCGCGGCGAGCCGGCCGGCCCACTATGGGTGCCCACGGCGGACGACAAATAGCGGTTCATGGTCCGGGATTGCTGTCTGTGTCTCTATAAGCTTCTGTTAAAGCATCGGTTCTGTAATTAGGGATGCCCGAGAGTACCGGATGCCCAAGAGTATTATCGGAGGGAGGGGAAGTACCTTTTGACCAGATCTCCGTTGTTCACGTGGCTTCGTGGGATTGTCCTGTCTTAATAGTAACGGATTGAGAAATTCGAATTTTGCTGTGAAGATGTTAGGGCGAGGAAACCGAGGCTTAGAATTTCATACTTATTTGAAGATCTCCCTATTACCCCTATAGCTATCTTCAACTTCCTAATAGTTTAGTTATGCAAGTGCAGAAACAGACAAGTAGAAAGACGCTAATAAAAGGGCCTTATAGTGCAGGCTGATGCAGGCAAAAAAAGCTTTGCCTCGCGGGAAGTATAAGGCAAAGAGCGGCGGGTGAAAGTATATATATATAGTCGGGCGCAACCAGATATATTAATATAGTACCTATTGTGCCGCAATTTAACGCCCTCCGTGCCACGCATTAACTCTAAGTCTCGACTCTTTATCACCAGAAGGCTGGCTGACCTCTATTAAGACATAAGCACTGCGCAAATACGGGTCACTTCACTCCCGAACATCCAGATTTGACCCGCGTTATAGCTTTCTGGGACAACGCATCTGGTGCTAATGCTCGCTTCTCGAACCACTATCCACAATTTTGCCACGGACGCTTGCCAGGAATCGTATCAAGGTGGAGCTCGGCCGTATCGGAGTCCCAGCTCTCAATAATCGCTGTGAGTGTATCTATGGGGCCAGTCGGGGAAGGGCGGAAGGAGTCAAGGAAGTGTGAGGTGGTAGCGTGGCGTCTCCGTGCCTCTGAAATCCCGCGATAGCTTTAGCTGGGTACGCCAATTACCATCGCTGAGACATGCTGGAAAGCGCTCTGTAGCGAATGGCGGCCGCGGAGATAGCAGATTAAGATTGTGAATGCTCAGAGGCTGTAGGGGAAGAGGAGTAAGCTTCCTATGTAATCTACGTCGTGGCAAGATTCACATTTTGTATTGCGTGGGGTTTCCTAAGAACCACTCGCCGGTCTTATTAC